GGGGGCCATCTTGGGCCGTCTTGGGGCTTTGGAGGCTTCTTGGGCCATCTTGGGGCGGTCTTGGGGGCCTCTTGGGCCGTCTTGGAGCGCTGGAAAGCCGAAAAGGCGAGAAGGCCAAAATCTCTCAAACAACCATCGTAAACATGACGATGTTGACCTCTCGGGGCCCTCTTGGGGCTCTCTTGGGAGGCCTCTTGGTGGCCTCTTCGGGGGTCTTGTATATGTCGTGGGCCGTCTGAAAGCCATCGTGAGAGTCTCGGACCGATCGTTCGACAACTCGGAGCCCTCTTGGACCGTCTTGGGCGCCTCTTGGGGCCCTCTTGGATCGCTCTGGGGCGCCTGAAAGCCGCGCCCAGGAGGAAAACCATCTCTGGCCCGACCTGGCCGGGATACTTTGCGTCCGGGGACCCCTAGGGGCCGCCCCGCGCTCGCGAAGTCGAAAGACTGTGAAGCAGTTACCGGAGATCTTAGCACGCCTCTGGCCCGTTGGGCCGGCGAATTGAAGACCCTTCCCGGCTGTCTAAACCCACTGCGTTCTGGAGTTGCAGGCGCCCTCCCCCAGACACCCGAGGCGCAGTGGAGACGGGTCAGCGCCTGGCCCTCAGAGGCGGGCCGGTGGTTCGCATCCGCTGCGCCTCGGCCTCGTGGCGCCCCTCCTCGGAAAGTCCAGTGCCTTGGCATCGCTCGGACGTGTGCAGTTTTCCTTCGGCGAGGGCCATCGAGGAGCATCCTTGATCATTTGGCGAAAAAACCACGCACGAAACCGAACAAAACACAGGGAATGGACGTCCGAGCGATGGCCAGGTACGGAGTGGATGTCTGGATCCACATTGTGCCCGCTGCAGGAGTTACCTCGGCGCCAAGATCTCGGAGGCGCAGGTGGCCTGGGAGGGAAAAGGGCATCAGGACAGTTGCACGGGGGTTCGCGCGGATCTCGTGGATCCGCGATCGAACCCCTTAGCGACTGCTCGAGGGGGGTCACGGAAGGTCGTCACGTGTGGCGCGTTGTGTCTCGAGGCTTGGGAGAACAGTGATGAGGATGATGGGGAATTTGACGATGATGGGGGCGACTATGATGGTGATGATGATGGTGACGATGATGATGATGATGATGATGATGATGATGATGATGATGACGACGACGATGATGATGATCATGATGTTGATGATGACGATGTTGATTATGGTGAAGATGATGATGATGATGATGATGATGATGATGATGATGATGATGATATTGATGATGGTGATGATGATGATGGTAATGATAATGGTGATGATGTTGATGTTGATGATGATGTTGACGATGTTGATGTTGACGACGATGATGATGATGATGATGATGATGATGATGATGATGATGATGATGATGATGATGATGATGATGATTCGGACGACGTGGATAATGATGTTGATGCGGAGGAGTAGGATGAGAAGGAACCGGAGGAGGAAGGGGGGGAGGACGATGACGATGATGATGACGTTGATTAGCATAGTCACTGCTATCCTTGTGATGCTGCTACTGCTGCTGCTGATGATGCTGTTGTTGATGCGACGATGATGATGCTGTTGATGACGATGCTGACGATGCTGATGGTAAGGATGACGATGGTGATGCTCATGATTATGATGCTCATGCTGCTGCTGATGATGCTGATGATGCTGATGGTTTTGCTGTCAGTGATGATGAACATGACGATGACGATGATGCTGATGATGATGATGATGCTGGTAATGATGTCGATGATGATGACGGCGATCCCGATGATGGAGAGACATATGATGACGACGGTGATGAGGATGATGATGGCGTTGGCTATTAGTGTTACCATCATACTGCTTACGTTGCTGATGCAGATGATGTTGATGTGAATGATGAGCATTATGATGATGAGTATGTTGATGATGCTCTTCTGCGCCTCAACGCGCCTCTGGGCACGGTGGCGGATCTTTCGGTCCCCAGCACGAGCACAATTGCCCGGAGGTCCGCGCGGGCTTCTCGGATCGGCGCTGGACCCCCCCGATCCGCGCGCCAGGGAGGTGCGTCTGGCGCCAATCCCATAACTCCGCGGGACGACTGGGAGTTCATGTTTACATACCGTTGTTCTTCTTGCAGGTGGCCGATGACGAGCTGGTCTGCCCGATCCCAGAGTGCAGGACCGAGATCACCGTGGCCCAGGTGGAGGGCGCGACTGTGGGCGATCCGCTCTGGGAGAAGTTCTTGCAGTTCCGCATGAACATCTGGACGCCTGGGGCAGACGACGACAAGATCGTCGAGTGCCCGACCTCAGAGTGCATCAAGTTTCTGGTGCCGCGCGACGTTGAGTTCGTGCAGTGTCCACAGTGCCACGCGGAGTTCTGCGCCCGGTGCTTCCGAGGGAAGCACGAGGGCGTCTCCTGTGTCGAGTTCGAGGTCTGGGAGCACGAGAACGCGGACGTGGACAGACGGTTCGAGGAACTCATGCGGCTGGAGCAGTGGAGGCGTTGCCCGGTGTGCCGGGCACCCTCTGAGAGAGAATCAGGGTGCAATTTCATGCAGTGCAGGTCTTTGATGGGGCAATGGGGATTCAGATGATGATGATGGCGACGACGACGATGATGATGACTAAGTGGCGTTGGTATTGTTGATGATGACGATTTTGATGATGGCTATCATGGTGATGGTGATGGTGATGGTGATGGTGATGGTGATGGTGATGGTGATGGTGATGGTGATGGTGATGGTGGTGGCAGCGGTGGCGTTGATGATGATGATGATGATGATGCTGATGATGATGCTGATGATGATGGTGGTAATGGTAATCATGCTCATGATTATGATGATGACGATGCTGATAAGGATGATGCTGATGATGAGGCTATTGACGATAGTGATTCTGGTTATCGGGATGACGATGACCATGACGATGTTGCCGATAACGCTGTTGTTGATGATGATGGTAATTGTATGATGATGCTGCAGATGATGATAATGATGGTGATGATGCTGATGGTGATGATGCTGATGGTGATGACGAGGATGACGATGATGATGCTGGTGATGATGATGATGATGACCACGATGATGAAATGATCGCGATCGTGATCGTGTTAGTCTTGATGATGCTGCTGTTGCCATCAACGATTGTGATTATGTTCATAGGGATGGTTACCATGATTGCAATCGTGATGATCAAATGATATGTTACGGTGATGACGATGATGATGCTAATGATGATAATGGTGCTGATGCTGATGATGATGCCGATGATGATGCTGATGCTCATGATGATGGTGATGGTGATGATGATGCTGATGATGATGATGATGATGATGATGATGATGATGATGATGACGATGTCGACGACGACGACGACGACGACCACCATGTTCATGATGGTGATGATGATGAGCTTCACCATATGAATCTCAGCATGCAGCGTCGAGTTCTGCCTTCTTGGTGGGTTCTGGGGCCGTCGTGGGGCTTTTCTTTTCTGGGCAGTCTCGGGGGGCGTGTCGAGGCCGGCCTTGGCCGCCTTCGGGTTTTCTAACGTTTTTTCCTGCACTCACCTCCGGTCGAACAGCTGGGGAAGGACACGTGCAAGGGACCTACCATTAAATCGGGCCTGTCCCTCTACAGGAGGGATATTGCAAAATAGTCCACAAAATAATCTGGGGACGATTTGTTGTTAGTTTTTGGAATTAGTTTTGAGCATTGTGTAACTATCTTTAAGATTTCCTCCAAGATCCGCCTGTAGGAGGACATGCTCGACCTAAGCCTACCAGCTCTTCACGTTGTTTGGCCTCTCCGGGCCTTGCTGGAAGGCTCCTTAGCCAAGTCTTGCGTTGCCAAGAATACGGTCATAGAGGCAAGATCAGGGGCGATATTGCAATATTCTCATGCTTGTAGTGGAGCACCGCTGCAACGCTGCAGAAACCTTACCAGCAGCTAGCATGCATTACGATACACCTCAGCGATCCGATGTCTTAATGATTGTGGCGCTGACGATGCTGATAACAGCGATCAGCGTGGCCATGCTGATATATTTTCGCACTTTCAGTGGTACTACTAGTACTCGAATCCAGTTAATGCTTGTAATGTAGACGAGCTGCATGCTGTGCAGGTCCAGTACTTGCCGGAAGCGGACGTACTGGTGCTACATTTGCGGAAAGCAGGTGCCCAAGGAGGAACATTACACCCACTTCCCAAGGGGGCCTTACGAGGACGAGTGCAACACCCCGCTGGAGGAGCACGTGCAGGTATCAGCAGCCCCTCCACAAGAGGATTGGGGGACGTCGAACGTAGTCGTGAATCGGGTTGATTCGGGATCTCTGCCGGGGCAAGTCCAGCGGCAGATCACACTGCGTAGAACTCCCGATTGGCCCACCATTGCCCATGTCCTGGAAACACCCTGGATTTCTCCCGACTTCTGTTTTTTACATGCAATATTGCAGTGAGTCGCGCAAGATGGATTAGAGGTATTTCGCGCGTCAGTGTGACCTCCGCTGAAGCCGCCATCGTTTGGTGGTCAAACCCTCCAGCGGAATGCACAGAGTTCAGAGCATTGGGCTGAGCTGTGAGGAAACCGTCCAGGCGACGGGGAGGGGGAGTGGGAGGGCGTTGGGAGGGGGATGTGGGAGAGCAGGGTGCGGATGAGGAGGATGAGGAGGAGCATGGAAGAGGAGCAGGGGGATGTGGGAAGGAGATTTGGGGAAAGCAAAATGGTACGGATAACTACCGCTGCTCCCAGGACCTCTCCTGGGGTGCGTGCTGGCCAGAATCTCGAGAGGCGAATCCAGCGGTGGCGACTTGGGCCTCCCGGGAGGCCCCAAGAAAGCGAAGACGAGGGAGGGGCATCGGTATCCTTACTGTTTCCTCCTCTGGGAGATTGGCTTCAATTTTGACCCCCCTACTTCGCATGCAACTCCTGGGAGGTCAAATTCTGATTTTGCCCTGGTCTGAAATCCGGCTTAATCAGTTTAATTCCGCTTATTCTGGCTTTATCACACTGAATCCCGCAGAATCCCGTTTAATCCGAGGCCCTTTCTGGTGTAACAGCCCCCCAAATCGGCTCAATCCTCCTTAATCTTTCCGACGATGACCTCCCAGCAGTTGCGCCTAAACCCTACCACACGGCCCAGCAGTGGACCTCGATTTTCTCGACCTCGTCGGGCGAGAGTGCATGCCCGCAGGAGCGGACTGCCGCCGCCGAGGGCATCACCATGGCCGTGGAGACCGTGACGGGGGGGGCCGACCGAAGTCCCGACCGCAGGGCGCCGACAGGGCTCAGGGGCGAGGAGGAGGAGGAGGAGGAGCAGGAGGAGGGGCATGAGCGGGCGACCATGGCCAGCGCCGGGCGGCGCCGGTGGGGGGGCAACCCACACCTTTACCCCCTCGCCCGTTTTCCCCTTTTTGGGCCTCCTGGCAGGCCCTCGTCTGTATGAGGACATCCAGCAAGCACGAAGAAAGGTAGGGTACCTTCCCCGAAACGACCTCGATCTCGCACCTGGGTCTGACCGCGATCTTTGGACGGAATTAACCGCATGCCGATGATAATAAAGGGACCCCCCCCCCTTCAGTGTTTAGAGTTGATTGTCGTCGCCCTATACAAAATTCAAATTGGGCGGCGAGCGCTGAGGCCGAACTTCATTATCACCTCGAAACGCTATGTTGAGATAGCAACATCAAGCGATGTTGATATAGAAACATCAAGCGAAGCGATCACACTTTTTCAGGATGTGTCAAGCGAAACCAATAATTTTGGGAGGCAGACTCAAACGAAACGAGCAATGTTCTTATTATTATTATACTTTCCTCTTCTTCTTTTATATTTCTATATGTCCTCACGCTCGCCTGAACTTTTTTATCCCTGGGGTTGATGATCCATGGAAAATGAAGCACATGAGCTACCCTACACGAGCACTTAAAAAAATCAATTGTCATAAAGCGTTTGTAAATTAAAATTGATAGATTTGGAACTTTGGATGTTTCCTTTCTTCGTCCTCTTCTTATTATCCTCTTCTTCTTCTTTCTTATTATTCTTCTACTGTATTATTCTTCTTTTATATTTCTCTCTGTCCCCACGCTCGCCTGAACTTTTTTATCTCTGGGGTTGATTATCCATGGAAATTGAGGCACATGAGCTACCCTACACGAGCACTTACAAAAAAAACAATTTTCATGAGAGATAAGCCATTGTTGAGGATATTTCTATGAAAACTAAACGCCAAGGATGTCTCAAAACGTGCTCGGCTTGGTCTCCTCTTGATCATCTCTTACTTCGAGATTATGCTGAGGTCTGCTGGGCTGCTTTTATTATCTCTCCCTGAACCCCGAACTGTATTATCCCCTAGTGTTGATTCTCACGGGCATGAGGTTAGTCATTATATATGTATGTATGTATATATATAGAGTCATATGTACATATGACAATAATATGTAATATTATATAGTTGTGCCACATGGTAGATGGCAATCGAATTATCTATACCTGTATATATACACATACATATATATACACGTCCTCGAGCTTATTATGGGGAATGGACCTGAACTTCTGAGGGTCGACATCGTGATAGGATCACGGCGCCGGAGTTTCGAGGAGACCGAGCGGAGGGCAGGGCGAGGAGGAGCATGTGAAGGAAGGAGGCCTCGCGCCCTGCGCAACGGCTCGGGGGCGAAGCGCACATCCGTACCCGCGGCCTCGCGGGCCGGGCACGGGGGCCGCGGCCCCGCGGGTACGGGGCGTTTTTGTTTGCGAATGTCCCGCGCGGAACATCCTTGCGACCGCGTATCCGTGGGATCGAACCCCGGAATCCAGACCGCGAGGGCGCGGATGCGGATGTGCTCGCCGCTCGTGAATGGTTGCGTCATCTGGTCCACACGTCCGCTTCGGAATCGTAAGGTATGGGTCGACGTTCTCGCGGCGATGATCCGATGGAAGTTCGACGTGGCTCCGACGTGAGTCCGGCGTAAATCCGACGTAAGGCGACGTGAATCTGATGTAATATCGACGGGGATCCGACGTAAATTGGGTCTCAAGTTTCGCGCGAAGCTTCCAGTATGTACTTCGTAATGATCTTGGGAGCAGGAAAATCAGCGGCAACGTTAGAGGGAGATAGGCACAGGGGCGGGAGATGCATCGACCCCAATCCCCCACTGGTCGCCGATGGGGGTCTGGCCCCTCCCCGCCAAGCAATACGCGGATTCGCTATCGGGGGCCTCTCGCCGATCTTTCCGCGACGTTCGAAGAACAAAAGCACATGAACATGAACTTTTGCCGCTCGGCGCTGGACCGCCCTCCTTGGCGCGCGGAGCGCGCCAGTGGCGGCGCCGGAGGCGCAGCTGGGGGGCCCAGGCGCGGATCCAAGAAATCCGCTCGGAGCGCCAACAGGTTATGTGTATGTTTTTATGTTTCTCTTCTTCTATCAAGAGGGGAAAAACACACAGACACAATACATTGTCGACTCTTCGGAAAATATAGGAAAATATGGGAAGTGGGCGGGAAGACAAAACCCAGACAATATGGGAAAATATGGGGACTCCTGCTATTTGCGTGCGTGTATTTCTTTGTGTGTCCTTGGCCCCCTTCATTTTAGGTGTATTGCCGATTCCAGGTCGATGTCTTCCCCCCTGCGCCAGTCCCGCCCGCTCGTTCCCCAGAAAATGGGGAGCCGGTCTTCGCGCGGCGTGACCCTGGCAGCCCGGCGGTCCCGGGTCCGAGCCTCTCCATCTGGAGCGCGCGGAGCGCCCTCGGGGCGCGGCGACGTGGGATACGATTTTTCTTTTATTTTCGGGCCGGACGACATGGGGGGATTGGGAAAGGGGGGTTTACGAAATTTGCTGCATGCAGCTGGTTTCGGCCCCGCCGAGGGGTCCATTCCTAGATACATGGCCGCCTCTGGCGCCGGGAGGCGCCGGGGAAATCAGCTACGTGAGCTGATTCTCAAACCCCTCCTTTGCTATCCCCCCCCTTCGCCCGACCCGAGCCCTCGGCGCGCGCAGCGACGTGGGATACGTTTCCTCTATTTTGGGGCGGGCTGGATAGTATGTGCGGGCTATTTCTCCAGCGGGATAATCCACTACGCGGGAGGATGTGTAAGCATCTTCTCATGAGGATTGCAACAGGAGTTGGTTCGCTTTGAGTTGCGAGTTTGCTCAAAGTCGCCTGCCGATCATTGCTAGCAGAACTCCTGCTGGCGCCTGGTCGGCGCGCGCGGCGACGTGGGATTAGTTTCCCTCTATTGTGCGGCGGGCTGGGTCATTTCTCCAACGGAATGATGTACTGTGGGCTCCCCTGCGCGCGGGAGGATTTGTGAGCATATTTTCAGGAGGATCGCGTTACGAATTGCTTCGTTTTGATTTGCGAGTTTGCTCAAACTCGCCTGCCTAGAACTGTTGGGCGAACTCCTGCTGGCGCCTGGTCGGCGCGCGCTGCGACATGGAATTCGCTTCCCTCGACTGCTGGGCGGGCTGGATGGTGTTCGGGGGTGATTGTCCAGCGGCATAATTCATTGTGGGCTACCCTGCACGCGGGAGGATGTGTTAGCATTTTCTCACGAGGATTGCAATGGGAGTTGTTTGTATTTGATGCGCGGGTCTGCTCAAGGTCGTTTGCCGAACACCGCTGGCAGAAGTCCTCCTCGCACCTGGTCGGCGCGCGCGGCGACGTGGGACATGTCTCCCTCTATTGTTGGGCGGGCTGGGACGTATTTCGGAGGCTATTTCTCAAGCGGGATACACCATTGTGGGCTACGTTGCACGTGGGAGGGAAGCACCTTCTCATGAGGACTGCAATTGGGTTTGCTTCGCGGGTTTGCTCAAGGTCGTTTGCTTATCTTTGCCGACGGAATTCTTGCTGTCGCCTGGTCGGCGCGCGCGGCGACGTGGGATTAGTTTCTCTCGATTGTTGAGCGGGCAGGATAATTTTGGGGGGCTATTTCTCCAGCGTAATAATTCATTGTGGGCTACCCTGCACGCGGGAGGATGTGCAAACGTCTTTTCATGGAGATTGCAATCGGATTTGTTTTGTTTGGATTCGCGAGTTTTTTTTGTCAAAATCGTCTGCCTAGCACTGCGGGCGGAACTCCTGCTGGCGCCTGGTCGGCGCGCGCGGCCAACATGGAGACTTCACCAGTGTGGACAATACAGAGTTCGTCAGCGGTTTGTACTGTCCACGCGACAAAGGATGGATTTTCTGAAGGCCCGCGCGGGGCCTGAGCTTCAACAGTCCTTCTCGGGATGGAGCTTCCAGGGTAAAGTTTCTGAGTGGGAAGTGTCAAAACAAGATTTTCCATGAGAGCGCTGTTTGCAGGCGCCTCAGGGAAAAAGTAGCAGTTCCCCCTTATTGGTGTGACAGCAGTCCGTCAAGAAGGCCGCAGAAACATTACTTAATTTCAAATGTTTGGGGGGGTTCTAAAGACCCTTACGGGCCTGGCGGGTTTGTTGGAGGTGCCACCAGCGGCGATAACCACGGCTGTCCAGGCCGCTGTTTTTTGCTGCGGTTTCCTTCATACTTTGCGTTTTTTTGCTTTCTTTCTCCTGTCCAGGCCGCGTGGCGTGCGCAGGCAGGACCAGCGGCAAGAACCGGGGCTGGCGAAACAAAAGAGCGGGCGGGGCTGGCGAGCGGGGGGCTCAGCACAATGGTTTCTGCGACAACTGGACCGGCGACGCACATATCCACGGGACTAGCATTTTAGTATGGGCCCCTTTGTTGCAGATACTGTTTGGCGACAGACCCTGTTCCTAAGGGTTGCGACATCTGCTGTGCACAGCTGGTTTCGGCACCACCGCCGGGTACTTTCCTCGATCCGCTGCGCTGGCTCTCAGGGGCAACGATAGGGGAGGACAGGCATATGGGGGGATGCATCGACCCCCAATCGCCCATTGATCGCCGATAAGGGGCCCGATAGCCCCAACGTGCCCAGGAAGGTGCGGATTCACTATCTGCGATGTATCGCCGATTCTAGGTCGATGTATCCCCCCTATGCCAGTCCCCCCCTATCGTTGCCCCTCATCCTCCCGTGCTGGGAGGCTCCACGAAGATAGGCTACGTGAGCTGATTCGCTAACGCCCCTTCTGTCATTCCCCGCCTCTCGTCCGCCCTGGTCGTCCCGATCGACCGCACCGACCGCCCCTCCTTCACTGACCTCCCCTTTCGTCTGACCCGACGGTTCAGTGGCAACGTTCGTGATGGGCATGTTTCCACCACCACCACCACCACCATAGGTTGGAGAGGGGAAGGAGGTGGAGGAGGAGGAGGAGGAGGAGGAGGAGGAGGGGGAAGTACAGGGGAGGAGGACCCCCTCCCCCCTCCAACTTACGGTAGTGGTGGTGGAAATCAGGCCCATCAGTTCGGGGAGGGAGATGATTTCTATTGGAAGCTGGGCGAGGGCTGGCAGATCCGTGGCTGTTTAAACGGTCTTCCCTGAAGAAAAAGGCAAACTCCTGGAATCGAGCTCAGCACACTGGATAGTAAATAGGCTGCTTCCTGGAAGAAAACAAACAATTTCCCGGAGTTCTGTTTAGCGGTCACGGGTTTCGATGTCCGTTCATGGGAGCCGTGGGCGGCGACATTGAAGCCAGCTTTTCCTGCAGTTGGACTGCGTTTGGACCGTCTTTGGCCATTCCTCCTGCTCCTCCTCGCCCTTCCTGCTCTTGCTCCCCCCCTCCTCGTTCTCTTTGTCTCTCCCGGGAAGGTGCTCATCTGGTCCAAAATTGCGGTCCAGATCTCGTCCCAATTCGTGCTCCAAATCTGGTCCAAACCGAGCCCAGATCGGACAGCGCCAGGGGCCACGCGGGCTCCCATGGAACGGACACCAGCACGGGCTCGCCAGCCTCTTCGCCCAGCTTCTGCGTCTGCCGGGGGGACGCACCGAGACGCCCCATCGCACAGCCGCTGCCGACCGGGGCCCCCGCGGCTCTCCCCGCCCAGCAAGAGCTGCGGCTGCGATCCCCGGGGGCATGCCGCCGGTCTGCTGGCGACGTGCCGCGGGGGGTCGATGTGGTCCCCGCCCTGCGCCGGTGCCCCCCGCCACCCAGATGGTCGGTTGTCCTTCAAGGGGCCCTGGGACACAGATGAGTACCCACGAATCCCAGGGTTCCCCTTTTTTTTATTTTTTTATTTTCTGGATGTTCGTCTCCCCCCTCGTTGTCCATGTTTTCCCATCTTTTCCTGGGGATCGACGATTTAACAGTGTCTGTGTGTTTTTTCCCCTCCTGAGTCCCTGGTGCCCCCCGCCCCCACATGGTTCAGGCGGGCTTGTCCCTCTACAGAGAGAGAATTCAAAAATAGTCAACAACATCGTCTGGGGACGATTTGTTTATTATTTCTTGATTATGTGTGAGTATGTTTTTATTGTATTTTATATTAGTTTCGTCCAGGATCCGCCTGTAGGTCTGGGCCCCCTTTCGCCTGACGTCCCGACCCGAAGGCACAGAAAGTTTCCCAGCAGGCGCGAGGGCCTCTGAGCAGTCTCGCCGCTTCCTGAGAAGGCCTTATCCTTCTCCGTTCCCCCCCTGCTCGCCGCCGATTTCCGCCCGACGTCCCGACCCCAGACATGCGACGCCCTGATTTTTGTTCACGACGGCGTCCCTGGAAGTCCCGACCCTTTACCCAGGGCCGGTCTTTCATTCTGCGTCGTTTTTCGACGGCCCCGGGGCCCAGCGAGGGCCCCCTGGGGCCGAAAATGGCCAGAAACCTCCCGTCCTGAATTTTTTATGACGCGATCATGTCTGGATCCCGACGGTTCGGATGCAATTCCTGGGAGGTCAAACTCTGAGTTTGCCCTGGTCCGAGATCTGGCTCAATCCCGCTCAATTCCACCTAATCCCGCTTAATCCGCGGCCCACCCAGGTGCAACAGCCGCACGTCTCTCCAGCCACGGCTCCTGCCTCCCGATCTGTGGGCGCCCGCGCCTTGGCTCGCGTGCGTCGTCGTCGTCGTCGCCGTCGTCGACGTCGTCGTCACCGTCGCCGTCGTCGTCGTCGTCGTCGTCGTCGTCGTCGCCTTGGCCATTCCGCCGCGCCTCGCGCCTCAGCGGAGGTGATGGAGGTGGGCGGCGACATGCTGGACGTGCTGCGCGGCTGGCTCGGCCCGCCGCGGCCGCCCGCCGCGCGGGGGGAGGCGCTCACGTAGCGCCCCCGCGCCACGGCTGGCCCCCCAGAGCGCGGCGCGCGGCGCGGCGCGCGCCCCGCCTGCGGCCGGGCGCCGCCGCTGCCGAAGGCGCGGAGGGCCGAGCGAGGCTCGCGGGGAGGGGGGGGGGAAGCTCAGAGGAGGAACAGGCACCCACATTAGGAGGCAACTGCTGGGAGGTCCTCGTCGGAGAAAGGAGTATAAGGAGGATTAAGCCCCGTTGGGAGGCTGTTACGCCGGAGTGGGCCTCGGATTAAGCGGGATTAAGCCGGATTCAGCGGGATTCAGCGGGTACCCACACCTCTACCCAGGGATGGACCTCAACATTGTTTTTGGTGATTTCGTGGGCCGTTTTCGTTTCGGTTTCGTTTTGCGGTAAAGGCGGATTCGAGACAAAAGCGAGGGAGAACGAAAACATATCGAAAACGAGAAACACCGTTTAGGTTCAGCCCTGCCTCTACCCTTTCCTCGTTTTCCCTTGGGCGGGACCCGTCTCGGGCGTGGCTGAAGGGGGGGGGTCACTTGACTGGGGGGGGTCAGAAGCGGTCCCCTCTCGTGCTCCTGTCGGGCCCCTCTGGAGCCCTGCAGGGGGCTCGTGTAGGTCCCGTTTGGGTTCTTTTTCGGGCCCCCCTCGCCCCCCCCCCGCTGATGACCCCCCCACTACGCAACGCCAAACCGTCTGCGGCTGGGCGCCGCCGCTGCCGACGGCGCGGAGGGCCGAGCGAGGCTCGCCGGGGGGGAGAAGCGGTTTTCAAGGGCGCCCAGACAGGATCGCGTCGTGAAAAAAAATCAGGACGGGAGGTTTTTCGCCATTTCCGGCCCCAGGGCGCCCTCGCCATGCCTCGGGGCCGTCGAAAAACGACTCAGGACGGAAAAGCCGGTCCCGGGGAAAGGGTCGGGGCTTCCAGGGACGCCGTCGTGACAGAATCAGGACGTCGCATGTCTGGGTGGGGAACGGGTCCACAGTCCACAAGTTTTTCGCCGCTTTCGGGCTCTCGGGGCCCCCTCCACGGGCCCCGGGAGCGCCCAGCACCCATCGTTGGGGTGCAGCGGCCAGGGCTGGCGGGCCCGTGGCAGCGCCATTTGTGAGTTAGGGGGGGGGGCTCCCGGAGGCTCCCTGCGCGCGGCTGGCCCCGTGCGGCCCGGTGCTGCGACATTGTCCAGCTGCGGTTGCTGGCCCCGTCCGATGAAAGTCAGGGTGCTTCGAAGGAGAAAAAAGGGCCTCCTGGGAGGCCCTCGTCGCCGCCGCTGGATTCGCCTCGAAATCCTGGTCAGAACGCGCCGTGGGAGAGGTCTGGGGGGTAGCGGTATCGGTGCCTTTTGGTTTCCCCAGTGCTGACGTCTTCTGAGCACGTAATCTCTTGGTGGGTTTTGGTTGGTGAAGTCATCTCTTCTGAACCGGTCGGGAAGCGGGACTTCGTCACCATGGGGCATCGAGGCGCACAGCTCCGCGCCAGGATGACCCCTTCAGGAGTTTTTCGTTTGGAGGGGAGAACACACACAGACGCAGTTCATCGTCGACTTCCAAGACAAGATTGGAGAAACATATGGGAAGCGGGGGGGAAGAAGAAAACCCAGGAAACAAAGGAACGTATGGGTATCCTGGGATTTGTGTGTATTTCTTCGTGTGTCCCTGGGCCCCTTGTCACAGGGGGCGAGAGGTTCGGGGGGGGGGGATGGATCGACGCCCAGTCGCCCATTTGATCGCCTATAGGGGCTTCAAAGCGCACCCTGGAGGTTTTCTCCGAAGGGCCTAGGCGATTCGTCCTCCTCCTCCTCCTCCTTATCCTCCTCGTCGTCGTCGTCGTCTTCCCCCTCCTCCTCCTCCTCCTCCTCCTCCTCTTCCTCCTCCTCCTCCTCCTCCTCCTCCTACTACTCCTACCCCTACTCCTACTCCTACTCCTACTCCTACTCCTACTCCTACTCCTACTCCTACTCCTACTCCTACCTCCTCCTCCCTCCTCCTCCTTCTCCTACTCCTCCATCTCCTTATCCTCCTCCTCCTCCTCCTCCTCCTCCATCTCCTTTTCCTCCTCATCCTCCTCCTCCTGCACCACCTCCTCATCCTCCTTTGGGTCGCCGACGGCCCCGAGGGAAACCGTGCACCCCCTCCCAGGACCTGGCGGTTTCGCTACCGGGGAAATTTCGCATCCAGGTCGATGGCTCCCCCCTCTGAGCCCCTCCCCCTCACAATCAAAAGCCATCGAATGGATGCTCTGCTTCAGCAAGGCTACCCATGCATCCCTGCTTCCCTCCTCCCTCGGCCCATCCTGAGGCAATGGTCACGTCCAAGGAGCTCCACATGGTAGACAGGATTTCCAAGGGCTGTGCGGCCATGCTTCGCAACCTCTCCATGGGTTACGAGAGTATGGTTACCCCTCGAGATATCTTGGGGAGAGACGCCGAGCTCGGGTGTTCTCACGACTAGAAAAACTGAAACACGACAAGAGAAAACTGAAACAAAACAAGGCATGGCTTAATCACGACAAGCATTTTCGGCGCCCACTTGCGGCGCCCACTTTCGGCGCCCACTTTCGCCGCCCACTTTCGGCGCCCACTTTCGCCGCCCACTTTCGCCGCCCACTTTCGGCGCCCACTTTCGCCGCCCACTTTCGCCGCCCACTTGCGCCGCCCACTTTCGCCGCCCACTTTCGCCGCCCACTTTCGGCGCCCACTTTCGCCGCCCACACTTTCGCCGCCCACTTTCGCCGCCCACTTTCGCCGCCCACTTTCGCCGCCCACTCTCGTCGCCCACTTTCGCCGCCCACTTTCGCCGCCCACTTTCGCCGCCCACTTTCGCCGCCCGCTTTCGCCGCCCACTTTCGCCGCCCACTTTCGGCGCCCGCTTCTGCCGCCCAGTTTCGGCGCCCACTTCCGCCGCCCACTGTCGGCGCCCACTTTCGGCGCCCACTTTCGGCGCCCACTTTCGCCGCCCACTTTCGCCGCCCACTTTCGCCGCCCACTTTCGGCGCCCACTGTCGCCGCCCACTTTCGGCGCCCACTTTCGCCGCCCACTTTCGGCGCCCACTTTCGCCGCCCGCTTTCGCCGCCCACTTTCGGCGCC